GTCTTTCCTCCCCGACATGAATATAAAATTTTAAAGAAGGGAAGTACAGACTACAGTGTTGTTATATTGTTAATTGAATCCGAAGTTATAAAATTTTGTTTTGGATGACGAAAAACCTAGGACTCAAAGACGATGAGTTATAAACGGAAATGTACTCTCTATATATAGTTACAAGGGGTGCCGCACCGCGCTATGCGCGGTACGAAATGCCCCGTAGACAGATAACAAAATTACAATAGACATTGCATATTACAAGAAGACATTGTCATATATTTTAAGAATGCGCAAAAGTTGGAGTTATGTTTCATACAAATATATATAATTCCAAATTGTTCAGACTGTTTGATTCAAATTGTATGAAAATGCGGAAAAAATGCATGCCTAGCTCGTATTGGCTTCTTAAACAGTTGAAAATAGCAATCCTCGGTTATAGGACTTGGTTGACAGATGTACCACAATATTCATCTTCAACTCGTATGGGCTCATGAGCTTTATCAATGAAAAAAAATGTAACAAAATTTAGCCAAAATTGTTTAATCGAAATTGAGAACAAAAACATAATTGCATTGTACGACTATTAGTTTACCTTCACCAAAAAGCTTCCTAGCACCAATGGTTATCTCGGGAGTCCCATAATCATTACGGAAATCCTTGATTGCAGAAGAATCTATATGACGAGGTTGTTTGTTCAATCGTTTTTTCATTTCTCTTGGTCCACCTGTAAATGAGGAAGGCAGCAAAAATAATTTTCCAACGTTTGCGAAGTCATTTTCTCCATAGATACCCAATGAATGAAGTATTCCTTGAAACGGTTTAGTTCGAAGTTCTTTCTGAAGTTGTCCACAATCCAAACGAAATTCCTCCAACATAACATATGACTCAATTGCACTGTTGAGTTCTCGTTGTTTTGAAGAAGTCATAACTATACATATATATCAAAAAACATTAATTATTTGCAGAAAATGCAAACCAAATTATTTTAAGTTATTGTGGTTCTATAGCTAGTTATTCAGACACAAAGCAATAATATGTCGCAAATTTAATCTTAAGCTTATGTAAGCCAGCAAATAATAGTGTGGATAACTTTATCGCACAAAATCTCAAAAGCTTATGAACCTAGCTATACCCAGTACCTACTGATTCGATGGAAGATTGCATATGTCTAACTTTATGATTGATTGAGTTGTGCAGAAGCACATAACACGTTTACCATCATAATAAAAGTGGAAAAGAAGAAATGATATTTTTACGAAAACAATATAAATTCACATTTGAGCTTCAACATAAATATATTAAATATAAGAAATAGTATATTATATAATTATTTTGATAAGTAAGGATTATTTTTTTAAAACGTTGCATTAAATTTTTTATTGTTGCTATTTATAAAATTTTGAAAATATATGTAAAAAATAAATATTAAAATCATAAAGTTAATTTAAAATGTAAAATAAATTAATTATTTTATTGTTTTGCAGGAAAAATAACTACGTTAGACCATGTTTTTTATTTATTAAAACATAAACATTAAACGTACTAAAGATGAAATTAAATTAAGGTCATGAATTAATCATTTGAAATAGTTATTTCATGAATTAAAGTGAAGATACTAACTTTTAGATATTACTTCAAACTTAATAATTTTGAGTTAATTCAAAAAGAATTTAGTAATATACAAAAATGAAGATATTAATTCTTAAAACTTTTAGATAATATACTAAAACATAATAATATATTAAAAACATAAAATGAAGATATTAATTCTTCAAACTAATTCTTATAAGCTTTATTTTCAATGAATATAACAAATTTTATAATTGAAGTAAAATCATATAAATTAATACTTACCAAAGAAAAATAGAAAAGTAAAAATTAAGGCAGAGAATCCTACAAATTGCGCAGAACATACATGCATGTGGCCCCCAATTTATGGTAGGAAATAATTAGTTCTCAGCAAAATGAGAAGAAAAGCAAATTAGTGTTGTGGGCCCATGATTTTGTGGGACAAAAATTAGAGGAAACAAAAAAAAGGAATAGTGAATACGGGCCCACGCTTTTTGGTCGGACCAAAAATAAGGTATTAAATAAAAGTCTAAATGAAACTGAATTTGCACGTGAAAATGGAAAACAAAACACAATACGGTGTCGTTTAAGGGTCAAACTGAATTAAAAAAAGTTGAAAACATATTAGGAAGCACTATAGAAATTTTCCTACACATTTATAAGATATAATATATATATATATATTATATTTATATTATATTTATATACCCACTTGTTGAGATTCTTCTTTCCATTGGTACTTGTATTATTTTAGCTTTTGTAAAGTCATTTTCGATAAAGTGGAGTCCACGTGTGTGTGTGTATATATATATATATATATATATATATATATGTTACATTTTCTTTTTCGTTCTTTCCTCCCCGACATGAATATAACATTTTAAAGAAGCGAAGTACAGACTACAGTGTTGTTATATTGTTAATTGAATCCGAAGTTATAAAATTTGGTTTTGGATGACGAAAAAACTAGGACTCAAAAGACGATGAGTTATAAACGGAAATGTACTCTGTATATATATAGATACAAGGTGAGCCGCACCGCGCTATGCGCGGTATGAAATGCCCCGTAGACAGATAACAAAATTACAATAGACATTGCATATTACAAGAAGACATTGTCATATATTTTAAGCATGCGCAAAAGTTGGAGTTATATTTCATACAAATATATATAATTCCAAATTGTTCGGAATGTTAGATTCAAATTGTATGAAAATGCGGAAAAAATGCATGCCTAGCTCGTATTGGCTTCTTCAACAGTTGAAAATAGCAATCCTCGGTTATAGGACTTGGTTGACAGATGTACCACAATATTCATCTTCAACTCGTATGGGCTCATGAGCTTTATCAATGAAAAAAAATGTAACAAAATTTAGCCAAAATAGTTTAATCGAAATTGAGAACAAAAACATAATTGCATTGTACGACTATTAGTTTACCTTCACCAAAAAGCTTCCTAGCACCAATGGTTATCTCGGGAGTCCCATAATCATTACGGAAATCCTTGATTGCAAAAGAATCTATATGACGAGGTTGTTTGTTCAATCGTTTTTTCATTTCTCTTGGTCCACCTGTAAACGAGGAAGGCAGCAAAAATAATTTTCCAACGTTTGCGAAGTCATTTTCTCCATATATACCCAATGAATGAAGTATTCCTTGAAACGGTTTAGTTCGAAGTTCTTTCTGAAGTTGTCCACAATCCAAACGAGATTCCTCCAACATAACATATGACTCAATTGCACTGTTGAGTTCTCGTTGTTTTGAAGAAGTCATAACTATACATATCAAAAAGCATTAATTATTTGCAGAAAATGCAAACCAAATTATTTTAAGTTATTGTGGTTCTATAGCTAGTTATTCAGACACAAAGCAATAATATGTCGCAAATTTAATCTTAAGCTTATGTAAGCCAGCAAATAATAGTGAGGATAACTTTATCGCACAAAATCTCAGATGCAACGTCCACCAACCTTACATTTTCATGAATATGAAACTAAAATATCGTGAGAAAATATCTCACAAGAAAATGATTGAGAAATCAACACATGATTTTACTTTAAATGATAATACACTCACTTAAGTTAAATGTCCGTGATCAATACAATTGGATGTCGGAGGTGTATCAAAAATATGCAAATGTTCAACATAAAACTGAAATACACACCCAAATATTTGTTTACATAAATAGCTGCAATAAAATTTTCTAAAGTGCAAAAAAAACATAAATGATTAATTTGTTTAAAAGTTTTGTTTAAAGCCATATATAATGTATGTATCAAAAAAATAATTCAGTTTATTCTTGGCACAAGCCGAAGACGATAAGTAATAGAGAGACATAGTAAACCAAAGAGGTCAATGACATTTTACTAATAACACAAAATAAAAAGATGAAAATCGATGTTTAGAGAAACTCAAAAGCAAATATAAACGTGAATCAGATTTAAGCATACGGTATGCAAAAAAATATATTTTATGAAATAATGTTACCTCTTATCCTTTGCAAGCCTTATGAACCAAAAGTTTTGGAGATATACTTCTGAAATCCCATAAAAAAACACAGGAAATGTAGACGGATAATCATGAAACTTGGAACCCCAAAGTGATAATCGCAATTCAAAAAAATGAAAGTAAAGTTCACATACATAAAACCTAAATAAACAAAATACAAAAATTAGACATAATACCAAACTATCATAAAAGTAAAAAAAAAAAAAAAAAATTAAATTTACTAAAGATGAAATTAAATTAAGGTCATGAATTAATCATTTGAAATAGTTATTTCATGAATTAAAGTGAAGATACTAACTTTTAGATATTACTTCAAACTTAATAATTTTGAGTTAATTGAAAAGGAATTTAGTAATGTACAAAAGTAAAGATATTAATTGTTAAAACTTTTTTGGATAATATACTAAAACATAATAATATATTAAAAACATAAAATGAAGATATTAATTCTTCAAAAGCTAATTCTTATAAGCTTTATTTTCAATAAATATAACAAATTTTATAATTGAAGTAAAAGCATATAAATTAATACTTAACAAATAAAAATAGAAAACTAAAAATTAAGGCAGAGAATCATGCAAATTGCGCAGAGCATACATGCATGTGGGCCCCCGATTTATGGTAGGAAATAATTAGTCCTCAACAAAATGAAAAGAAAAGCAAATTAGTGTTGTGGGCCCATGGTTTTGTTGGAAAAAAAAAATACAGGGAAGAAAAAAAAGGAATAGTGAATACGGGCCCACGCTTTTCGATCGGACCAAAAATAAGGTATTAAATAAAAGTCTAAATGAAACTGAATTTGCATGTGAAAATGGAAAACAAAACACAATACGTTGTCGTTTAAGGGTCAAATTGAATTAAAAACAGTGAAAAATATATTAGGAAGCATTGTAGAAATTTTCCTACACATTTATAAGTGATATGCCCAATTGGGCCAACCCAATGGGCCTACAATTTCTTTACCTACTGGGCTACGAGCCCAATATCGAAGACTAATATCACCGAGGCCCAAACACCTTCAAGTAAGGTTTGGGCCCAACAAAGCAAACCCAACCCAATAAACGACATATAAATAGAGGTTTTACTCATTTTATTAAGGTAGGTCCTATTATCTGAGCAATACTACTAATGGTATTCTCTGGACTATTTCTATGATCAGTCGCCTGATCACGGGGGAACGAGGGGTTTCCGCCGGATCAACCCCCGGCTTAGCTTATGTGTTCTATGATCGCAGGTACCTCAGGATCATCAAGTTGTCAAGCTACTGATCTGCTTTGCTCTCCCAGCTCGTTTTCTACACCACCCTAGGTGAGCTAGTAATTAGCATCATCATTTTGGCGCCGTCTGTGGGAACGATGCAAACCATATCACGTAGCCAACAAGATCCTCCTGAGGCGTCTGCTCGGAGAGAAAATGACACAGCTAACGACCTCCCACCTTGTGGAGGCTCTGGCTTGCCACCTCCTCCACATCCCATGGATCCGCCTCGCGAGGTTCAGGTGATCCCCCCTCGGGACCCACCACTCGCCGATCCACCACTCCCTGCTCCTCGAATGGTTCAAATAACCGAGGATGCGCTTCAACGCATGATAGCAGAAGCTTCAACCCGCGCTGCCACAGAGGCCGAGACCCAATATATCGCCACGATGGGAGCAAATGCTCCCAACGCGATACCAGCACCTGCTCCACATGTGGGGCCACCTATGGCACCACCGCCATCGACTCCCTGGGGGGCTTACATCTGCCCCTAAAATATTTCGTTCGCCAAGGGTTATCGACTCCCTGGGGGTTCACAGTGCCCCCAAAACATTTCATTCGCCATGGGTCATCAACTTCTACTTGCTCCTCTAACGGTTCAGATAACCGAGGAGGCCCTTCAACTTATGATTACGGAAGCATCTTCCCGCGTTGCTACTGAAGCAGTAGCACAACGCATCGCCACAACGGAAACCAACGCTCCTCCTGTGGCTCCACCCATAGCACAACCTCAGAACAACAACCAACT